CAACTGAGCATTGTCAGTGGTGTCAGTGGACTCACCCACAGCTAAGGAAATGCACTGTGCATTTTTTATTCCATCACAAAGCTGATGAATCAAATCACCAGCCAGTATTTATGTTCTTCTGGTTGCTGTGCAATCTGAGAGGGGGATTTGCTTGACCTGTTATTTCCTCTTTTTGTTTGCCTTCAACATGGTCTCCATCAATTCAGTCATGCATTATTTTATACTTCAGTTATTATCCAGTGGAAAGTCCTTACCTACTGGCCTAGTTCAATCAAAGTGGTTACTTTTTTTTGGCTGGGCAGTGTAGTTTTACACACCGTCTTATTTGACTTTCTCAGGACTTAAAACAGTTTTTTGGGGGCAGACCCCCTCAAAGAAAACAATATATTTACACACGTAAGGTCATCATCTTAATAGTTTTGTATGCTCATCCGTGAGCAGAGCATCAAGTTGACATGTCTATTACAGCTGAATGCGGCGATTACCATCTTGTTCAGCAAAACGCCTCACAAACGTATTAAGATCAACAGCTTTAGTGCGTTTTGATTCAATGCTGAGTACAGTCAAACTGACAGTCTCTTCTCTGTCATTGTAGACCGCAAATACCTCATTCCTTCAGCGCTTGGGTCCGAATGCTTCTCGTTTTGCGCCGTCCAGTTAAAAATGAAATCGCCGCCAAATCGTATGTCCACGCTCGCGCCAGGACCGGGGGAGGGGTTACATGACGTGCATCTTGTGCTGCATTCACTTGCACTCGGACATTAGAGACTTTCTCTCATAAATGTCCGATGAGCCACAACTTTTCTTTCAAAACAAAGCTGCCAACTGGGGTGGCAGCTGGGGTGGCAAGGCCTATTTTTAGGGTGGCAGTTGCCACCCCGGTAGGTGAAACTAGGCTACTAGCTACAGTACAGATGAGCTGTTAACTCTCGCTCTGAATTTTGTTTTTTTTAAATTCTCGCTCTGACTTAGACAGGTTGAACGAGACACACACATTTTTCCCACCCGCATTCCGCGAAGACCCGCCCTACTGTGCCTCTGATTCGCAGATTGTTTGGGGGAAAAAAACGCTGACTGGATGCTGAATGTGATTGGACCAAAGCGTTGACACACACAGGTGGAACACAGTGGAACAGTCAGACATGCAGAGCGCTGTTTGCAGTGGACATAGCGGAGAATTTTGACTCGTTGCGAATGCGTTGTGGCGATGTCTCACATATAATACAGAGAGATAATACATATGAAAAGTATAATTTGCTCAGAGTCCGGAGACAGTGGTGGTTCGGTCCGGATCCGGACCGGAGTCCGTAGTTTGAGGATGCCTGCTATAGAGCCTATAGGGTCTCAGCCTCTCGTGCGCACGAGAAAGTTACCGGTGCGCCAAGTAGGAAGAGAAGCGCACAGGAGACAACTGTTTAATTGCAGACTGTTATGTTTATGTGGGAAAATGGCAGTGCATACATTATTTGAGATATATTTCAAACTCGGACTTCATTTTAAGGATATGTCAGCCAGGGGTGTAGAGCTATTTGTTTAAGCACCGGATTGGCAAAACAGGAGAGTAAACCAGTCTGCCTTGATCTATATGAATTCATGTCCGGGACTCTCGCGGTATCTGCTGCCCGCAGCTGTTTTATAGAAGGAAAACCTCCTTCACTTCATGAAATGGCACCAGGAGGCAGCGGGACGTGTAACTCCGCCTCTGAGAAGTAAAGCACCAGCGGGTAAAGATGTGCCTTTTTACGCACTGCCTTCGCTGTGTTTACCTTCATCAGAACAGCTTAAGAGTGACTGCAGGCTGCTACGTGTTAACCACACACACATCGAACTGCCCGATTACTCCCCCTTTTATTAGTTTTATGAAGGAGATGTCCAGTTGATGTGTGTATGTGCTCTGCTCAGCTCTGTGTGTTCGGTGTGTTTGTGTCTGTCCGACACAGGCATTTGTTTTCAAATGACCATGAACAGTAATTTACACACATCTGGCTAACTCCATAGGTAGCCATATGCTGGTGTTCCCAAAATAAATTAGTTTAATCTTAATCTCGATGTAGTGCTAAATGCTGTCGGACGTGCACCGGAACGAACGTCACTATCATAATATCTTCTGAAAACAAATGCCAGTCACACACCCACACACACACCCCTCCTTCATAATGTGCCTTCTCCTTTTTTTCCCAGCATTCACTGGATTATCCGTAAATCATACAAACAAAACCAAAACGTTGATTTATCTGTTTTCCCGTTTTGGTTTAAAAACTGAATAACGTCGGTTTTTTGGTTTTCCGTTATTCCGAAAAACCAAAAAACGACACCGGTTCTTTTTTAAACATTAATATGTTTTGGATGCATATTGTTCTAGTATTTGTTCAGGCTGTTACATACAATTAGGCTCTGTTGCTACCTGCTGGTGGTGAGTACATTTTAAAATCAGTTAAAATTGACAACCGGTCCGCGATTTTTTTTTAATGTATCTGCCGGTCTTTGGCACAATTAAAGGTTGGGAACCCCTGTGTTAATCAACAGAAGATAATTGTACAAAAATGTTGAAAACAGAAATGATTATTCAAGATTATGGGGTAGGTCATTTTGGAGAAACCAGCTCGAGTGCGCTAGAATTTGAAAATACACAGCCGGAACAAATCTGCCACTTCCTTACAGAGCCCCTCCTCCAACACACACGAACGCGCACATGACCAATGAGGGCACGAGATAAGTTTGTGCACAGATGGAAGGCTGACAGGCAGGTAGGCCATCCAGTTATTTTAGCCGGGCCGGCTAAAATGATTGGTCGTGCTTTTTACAGCGCTACGGCTTCCACAGATGACTTTTTTTTAATGGATTTTTTGTCAAAGCACTTAAGATATTCATTGCTATCAGGATGTTAAGAGCATTCCATGGAATATAACAAAAAGTGTATCTCGAGCCTGTTTCTCAAACTTACCTACCCCACCTTTAAGTGCAACTTCTACAAAACATTTTTGGTTCTAGCTTTTCAAATGTGAGTATCTGCTTTGTGTCATTGTAAACTGAATACCATTTGATATTTAGATTGTTGGTTGGACAAAATAAGCAATTTAAAGATGACCCCCTCTGGGTTTCGGCCATTTTTGGCTGTTTTTCACAAATTCTAAAGACCGACCGTAAAAGTAACATTCACCAAATTAAAAACGTTTTTGCATAATGAGTTGATGTAATGTAGAACAGTAGAACATAGTTGATCACATTGAACATAAATGTATGTTTATATTAAATAATTAGAAAGTGATTGCTATAGTCTGATATGGATTTTCACTATAGCAACCAGCCCTGAATGACTGATGCTCTCAGTGGGGGGTAAATGGACATGTGGCAGTAAAAGCAGCCCGTATGGGTGATCGATGGCTGGAAAAACACCATGCAGGGTGTGTTGGAGTGCACGGCAGCACAGTAAGAGAGTGAGGTCAGGTGGACCTGCTGTTCATAGGACGCCATGTGTATTCGATAGATAACCTTCAACCTTCAACAATGTTCAGCCTTATCTGGAGCTGTCAGTGAAGCCGACGCCCACTGCTTCACTAAAAAACATTTAGGTGTCTGTCAACTTTTTTTTTAATGTATATATTCCTAGGTTAGGGTTTAGCAGCTGGGTTTGTCAGAGAAGCTGTGCAGCGTCTCATTGTCTTTAATGTTAGCATTACACAAACATGGGATTATTTATGAGTGACAAAGCCTGGGGTAAGGTCACTGGGTTATTTGTTTTTAATGCAGCTAATGTATTGTCTGGACTAGTGCTGACCTTCACATGGAAAGGTGGCAGAGTCGTAAATAAATCTGTAGATAAAGACAGTTAGGGACTCTCCAATCATATTAAAAGCGGAACAAATTGGCCCGTTATTATTTAGTGCCACAATCACCCAGCAGCATTTAACTGTTCCACCTTTAAATGACCCCCTTCCTATGTTATTTGCACCTGCTGGGAATGCTTTTAGAAAAGAGCTGTAACAAGAAAAGGAAAGATGTTTCTGGGGTTTTCTTTTTAGTATTGTCTGTCTATTAGGATATGGGGTGTTTTGTTTTGTAAGGGTTCTTAATTCATCTCGTAAATCAAATAAGATCAAGATGAAAACAATTGTTAAACTAGTAGATTGATAGAAAATGTGTCTGATAATCCAAAAATCAAGTTGAAATACTTAATATTTTTGGATTCCAGCATGTAAATTGTGTGGATTTAAGAAGAAGCGGGGGATACACACAGTATACATTGTCTTTGTTTTGTTTGAGGAAAGAAATTTGACTATTTCTGACCAAACTAGGATAATCTTAGGGCAACTTAACATGTTCCATCAATAACTAATATGTATTAAATCATGATTCTGTCAATAAAATGTCAGTTAATTCAAACAAGTAAATAAAATATACGTGTTTAAGTTGCCACTTGTATCCACCTAACAATGCAATACCCATGATATCCAGTGTAATATAAATAATCACATAGAGGAAGTTAATTTCTGCAGTTGACTGTAGTTGGTTCCCATAATGCACCTCATTTGCCCTTTATAGTGACTGGATTCTGAATTATGGAACAACTCTGTTGCTTCCTCTCCCACCTGCATACCTACCTTTTTATGATACAACATGCAATTTAAGGTAATAAAGCTAAGCAGTCAGACCTGCTTTACACATCCACAGTATGTTAGTGTGCTTCCCAACCCTGCAGCATATGATAAATCATATATTGAGATTCTAATCTTCCAGACGAAGAAATGTGAATAAACAGCAGTGGCGGGTGGCCTGTCACATTGAAATAGACTGTATGTGGGCTAAGCAAATAAAAGGAGATTTATGGGTGCAAACACCATGGGGCAATACAACCTCGGCCTGGCTTAGAATAATTGCATAACAGGGGATGTCCAGCACTCAGAGAGGCCGATTGATTGGAATATTTCCTGATCAAAAAGTAGATGTTTTTAAAGGGAACACACACACACACACACACACACGTAGGCTGACAGACCAACCTGCTCTTTCCGTTTCTGCCAGCGGCCGCACGGGCTCTCCTCCAAGATCTCGCTCTCATCCTCGCTCTCCTCTTCCTTCCCCTCCGAACCTGATTTCCTTTCCGGGACGGACATCGTCATTTTAACGCCGTTTATTGCCAGATAACAAACCCCCGACCGACCCTTTTCTACCTCCTTCCTTCCCTGAGGTTTTGTCGACCAGACGAGTCGAGACGGTCCTCGCTCTGTCTGCGCAGTGAAGACAACCCCCTCCCTGGTGACAGCAGCCACTCTCACTCAGCCCCGCTCAAAACATCTTGCAGAGAAAACTGATATTGCCTAAAACAAGCGCTACTCAGTATGTGAGGAACAACCTGCACCGCCTCCAGATAACAACTAGCAGTGTAGGCTACACATAACACGGTCGCTGGACTGAACGGAGGGTGGGAACATGTATCCCAGACTTCAGGCGCCCCATGCAAAATAGGTTGCGAAATGGTTTTCCGCTTATCTATCTGTTCACACTGAAGCACCGCGGGAGTGGAAGCTCGGTCGGTGGAGCAAAATAATCCCTCCCGACACAACTACGATCATTCCCTGCCTCGTTTATCGTCTGTTTTATAGAGGAGCTTTTAATTTTCGACTATCTTCCGCACGGGACGCTGTCTGTGTTGTCGTATCTGAAGCTGCGGCACGAGCTCCTGCCAGGAGCGGTGCGCAGAGAGATGGAGCGCATTACCGTAAAGTGTTCAGTATGTGCGCTCAGGATTTTACGTTAAGCCTGTCTGGAAAATGAAGCAAACAATTAATGTATAAGGACGAGCACTAACTCAGTAACCCAAAACAGGGTATTAAAAAAAAAATGTTTATAGTGTGTTATATTTTATTTCACAATACATGATTTGACGCATATCCAGGTCCCATATTAGTTCGGTTTAATTGTTTGGCATTCATTTTTCTTCTTTCCTGTTTTGTGAATATTTAAGTAGGCCCTATGTATTACAGTATAAACCCAAACCAACTAAACCTGCTTTTAGACTCACAGAGCACTCCAATAATGACTAAAAACCAGAACCTACACCAGGGCAGAAGGGCCTGGCTGTTTTATGTGTTAATAAAAGAAAGAAAGGCCCTTTGTGCCTCAATAAGGAGTGCATGTAGTCTAAGACAGGGGTTCCCAACCTTTATTGTGCCAAAAAATCGAGGACCGGTTGTCAATTTTAACTGATTTTAATATTTACTCACCAGCAGGTAGAGGCTAATTGTATGTAACAGCCTGAACAAATACTAGAACAATATGCATCCAAAACATATTAACAACGTTTAAAAAAGAACCGGTGTCGTTTTTTGGTTTTTCGGAAAAACGGAAAACCAAAAAACCGACGTAATTCAATTTTTAAACCAAAACTGGAAAACAGATAAATCAACGTTTTGGTTTTGTTTGTATAATTAACGGATAATCCAGTGATGGGAAAACGAGGAGAAGGCGCATTATGAAGGAGGTGTGTGTGCAGGGCCGCCCCTCCCTACAGGCCAATCACGCAGGCTGCATGGGGCCCCGCCTTGCGCAGGGGGCCCCGCCCATAGGGCCTCAGCTGCTGTGCTCAGTTCTCCGCGCACCCCCCGCGAGAGTGAGAGTGAGAAATGACAAGGGGAGCATGTCTGTAACCCGACACCGTTGTAATGTATCGACATCTGACCAATCACGGCTTCGATACGGCCACTAGTGCAGGTAAAGAGATGTCGGTGAAAAGACAGTAGGCTTGTTTGAGACAAGCGAGACCTGCGCAATTTCGATCAACGTCTTGCTCGTGCGTTGCATGATGGTTAGTCATTTTGTCCGACTTGCTCTGGAGGCTCGCCTACATGAGACGTTGAAATCTCGCGGGACAAAGACGCCCGCAGCCTTGAGAGCGAGGCGCGGCGAGGCGGAGCAGTTGCAAGCCCCCAGGAAGTGCGCCGGAGTCTGATGAGAATATTCATAGTGGCCAAACGGCGGTACTACACTTCCGTTTGGTTGCTGGGCCCGGAAACACTTTTTTCCATTGACTTACATTGGGAAAGAGTGGTCTGTAACTCGTTGGATAATTTTTTTAAAACTAAATAAACAACCCAGTATGAACGTTTGTATAGCCCTTATTAAAAACATTCGTTCCTCAAGTTGTAAAAATATGCTAATAACGTTATTCTGAGAGTAATTTCCCTCGGCATTATGAACGCGCATCTAACCCACGGGACCGCCGCCCGGCACGTTCATGTGACGTGTTCAGCACTACATGCGTTTCTCTTTACCCATGGATGCACAATAACAACGGACCATATCGCCTTACTGCCCACGGAGCTGTAATAATGGATATATTGTACATGTTTGCTGTAATTCATCATTTGTAAAATATTATACTACATGGGCTGTATGATGTAAATCTTGTACCGTAAATGTTGTATTAAATAAAGTTAATATTACCGACGTAGATTAACGTTCCTGTAGCTTCTTATTGCACTTGCAATTGTTTTAGTTACGTGTGGGCACTGGGCTAACATGAATAATCACAGTTACTATCCTTTTACTCCATCACATTTCAAAAATAAATAGGCTATTGTTATTTTAACTCTACCACAGTAATCCATCATCAGCTTTACTTTTTAGATAAAGTTTTAACTCACAATTGATCATAACAGGCTTCAACATATACATATTTATATATTACCAAGTGGTTTCATGTACAACCCACACAAGTATCATGCTAAATGAAGCTCTGTTGCTTGGATATCACTAGATCCTGATGTCAGCGTAATATAAAAGTACATAACGATTGATGTGTGATTTAGCATAATTTACTAGCTAGCCGCTAGCTGCTAACTGCCGCCTCGTTCCCGTTCTCGTTCGTTAAATCCAGTACCATGCTGGCATGAACGCGCGGTGCTGTTACGTGTACGCAAATTCACGTGAACGAGCCTTTTGGGCGGCGTGGTTAAAGTTGCGCTATGAGCGCACATACGGGTACTTCTCAGGCATGCCGGGTAATCTGTGACGTTTCGCTCTCTCAAAAGTTGGGCCATTTTGTCATCATGCGCCATTGAGCAACTCTCATAGGAATGAATGAGGCCCCGCCTCCCACGCTGTATCCAGTTCTTATTATACATCCATGAGCAGTTCCTCTCCACGGGCTGCGGAAGCTAAATGCTTGATGGGAAACGACTCGCTGGTATCTCGAGCTGAGCGCTCATTGGTGGTTTTTTCCACGTGCTGGTGATGAAACTCTCCAATTGGCTCGGCAAAAGTTTGTTGTTGTTTTGTGTCCGTTTTACGTCGCCACTTCCATTCACATTTGTCATCATTGTTCCACAATATTTATCATCATGAAATTAATATCCATATATTTTATACTATACTTGCACTGCTTACCGTTTTTATACTTTATATATCTTAGCATATTCATACACACTGTTCATACTGCTCTCAGGCTGCTGTGTATATCTAGTGTATTCATACCCCTCACTGTTTATTCATCATTGTTTCACACACACATACGGGTTTTGGGCCGAGGGCGACACCATACTTCCGGTATCCACCATTTCACACGAGGTGCAAGCAGAATATCATAGTCTATTGCCTTAATCAATATCTAGTCAACTCTAAAATACCACATATATGCAATGGCATGATAATATTATTATGACACGTGGGGTATTCACCTGGTGTTTCCAGAAGATAGACGTAGATGCTGCCAAAATCGACCGAAGGCCACTTTCGAGAGTCGTTTTTCCATACATCTGCAGGCAGTCTGTAAGGGCAATCGGACAACCCACACAGCTCTAGTTTACGCTGGTAACGACCTAGAGCACACCCCTCAAATCCAGAGATGTAATCTGAAGACATGCAGCGATGTCTTCGGTCGTTAATTCAGAAAAAAAAAACTAGTGCGCTCTGCCTGGCTACATTACCTAGCTGTTTATATTAGCACCTCCAGGATATTAGCACCTCCAGGAAAATGGCGTATTTATATATATGGCACGCGTTGCATTGTGGGTAGCTCGTGACGTCACTGTGTGTGAAAGAATTCAATTCATTCTATATTTTATTCTGTAGATTGTGTACATTACTTTTCACTTTACTGCTTGTTGCACCTGGTTAGAAGCTAAACTACATTTCGTTGTCTCAGTACCTGTAATATGTGCAATAACAATAAAGTTGAATCTAATCTTGAGCAGGAACAAATGTATTTACTTAGTACATATCTGACATTAACGATTAAACACATGTGTGCATTCTTTATAAATGCAAACCGAGTCAAGCCGACTCCGGAGGTGGCGGTATAGAAGAAGAAGAAGAAGAAAGAAGAAGAAGAAGAAGAAGAAGACTCCGACTCCGACTCCGAGCTGTCCGACTTCAGGCGAGCTTTTTGAGACCTCCCCCGGCTGCGATCGGCTATTCTCGTCTACTTTCGAGGCGAGCCGCAACGCGTCTCAAACAAGCCTAGTTTCAGTCCGGCGCAAAAAACAAAACATGAAGAAACTAGAGCATCACTCGAAGGTGGGTTATTGTATGAGTCAAATGTACAACTTGCGAATGTTGTATAAGTCAAATTGCCAATTGCCATATTAAAGCTGCAATTCACGACATGAAGAAGGCAGTCTCTGCATAGCATAGGCCAGTGTTTCCCAACCGGGGGTACGCGTACCCCTAGTGGTACGTGGGTGGTCCCCAGGGGGTACGTGAAAAGATTTTGAAAAAAATAAAAATAAACAATTTGATTTTAGATTTTTTTTTATTAAAATGTTTACAGGAAAACTGTACCCAAATAATGAATAATGCATAATCTGTAATAATGTAACCAAAATTGGGGGTATTCAAATTAAGTAATAATTTGCTGGCTATATATTATTATTGGCGCAGCGTTCAGCTTCCCGCCGGACTGTCAGGTGTTACATCATCATCATCATTGTAGTGGCGCGCTGGTTTTCTTGCTAGCTAGCAAAATATCAACATCCTATCAAGTGAATGCGCTGGTGTTTATTGAGATCAACATTTCTGTTAACATAATCATTATGGATCAATGGCTGAGTCGAGCTGGTTCATCCAGAAACAACAGCACAGGTGATACTGCTGAATCAGGAGAACCCGTTCTCAAGAACATGAAAACAGAGAAGGTGAAGAATCGTCAGTTTGGTGAACATTATGTGCTCTCCGGGTTTACGGTCACAACTACAGAGCCACCGCAGCCAATGTGTTTCATCTGTGGCGACGTGCTTTCTAATAATAGCATGAAACCATCCCATTTACATCGGCACCTTAGTACTAGACATCCCGCCTGTGTGGGTAAGCCTGCAGAGTTTTTCCACCAAAAGCTGGCTGAATTTAAGGGAAGCCAAGAAAAACTAAAGAAAGCGACATCGGTCTCAACCAAGGCCTTGGTGTCGCTACTCGTTGCTAAATCGAAAAAGCCATTTACCATAGCCGAAGAGCTGCTGCTATAATTCTCGCAGAAACTATGCTCGATAAGAAAGCAGCTGATGTCCTGAAGAAAGTGTCGTTGTCAAATAATACTGTGTGCCATCGGATCGACGACATGGGAATTGACATTATTGACCAAGTGGTGGAAAAATGTAAGGCGTCTGGTATGTTCGCTTTGCAGTTGGACGAATCAACGGATGTCAGTAGGGAAGCACAACTGATTGCGTTTGTGCGTTACAAAGACACTTTGGAGATAAACGAGCACATTCTGTTTTGCAAGAAAC